CTCATACAACATTATATATATATATATATATATATATATATATATATATATAAGTGGAATACTACAAACCGATAGTTCAAACATCCCTTACTTTGAGATTGACGGGAAAGATTTTTCCAAGCAGCCCTCAATAGTTTATGACTGTTCTTCACACTCCCGTTTGAGTTAGTTGCCAATCACGTCCAATTTAAACCACATTACTTCTGCTTTAGCCATTCCTTATATCATTATTTTGAATCCCCCCCTAGTTTTGATTTTGTTCCCGTTCTCCGTTCTACCCAACAGTGATTTCATCTTACCGATTGATAGACATAATAAACAATGGTGGAGAACCATCTGGTGTCCTCACTGACTGACTACACTGAATGACTTTTCAACACCTAGTACGCAATGCTGGTAAGTTTCTACATGCTGACTTCTCATCGAACCCTTTTTCATTAGGTCAACTGTTTCACTGAGCTTTCTAAAGCACACGTTATGCAATAAGCATAGCATGCTTGAAAGCTCAAACCCAAAATTCACTCATTCACGTGGCTGTTTGGAAAACTTCTGCAACGGAGAGGCTGAGGATAGTGCTGTAGACTGCGATTACATCAGAATAGTGCATATACCTACAAATCAAGGGGTATATGAGCTCCTTTGTTTGATGATTTGCGGGATTCGATCTTCAACCTATTGAGTTACCACCGGTATTCTCACTTATCAAATGCCATGTATTCCGGTTTTGGTCATGGCGATAAGAATCTAAGGCTTTCAGGATAGCATATGTGATTACATTGCATTTGCCTTCAGTTCCTATCGAGAGGTTTGGCGAATGAAGGGAACAGCGGTCAGTACATCAAATGAGAGGTTTATGAGTAGCCATCCCAATAGTTGTTATTTGCACGATATTCTTGGCCACACCCATTGAGTCTCTAGAACCCGTATGTCCTGTTTATGTAGGTTTGAGCATTGTGTATCAGTTGATAAATAAAGATGTATCAACTTGGCTGGTGCTGAACGGATACAGTAGCTTACGATAACAACAACCATGGCGATTTGATTTCGAATTATTGCACAGTAATTAGCATCACCGTAGTCCTTTGCTAACCTCAATTTGGTGGAGCTCATTCATTAAAAAAAATAGGCAAAGCTGACGGCATGCAGTAATAGGAGAACGTTATGGTACGCTCAGCCAGTACATGAGTTTCGTCAACCTTAATCAACGTTCAGCGCAACATGAAGGAAATCGCTACGCTGACAGGATCACGTGTCATCGGAACTGGCCACATATAACACTTAATTATCTCACTTCGTTACTTATTCCACGTTGTCCGGTCTTAAATGTGTTCTTACTTTTAACCGTTCCCTATCTCCCATCGACATTTCACAGATTAGGGGGAAACCCGATCAACAGAATCAGTCATGTGAAGTTCTTGGGTGTCACGCGAGAAAGTAACCTTCGCTGGTCTTTACATACCCAAAATGTTACCCTTAAGCTGAAAGTTGTTTTCTATCACATAGGAAAATGGCATCATTACTGTTCTGATCAGTAAGTGATTGGAGGTTTTCTTCAACAATGTATTCTCCCCTTTACTGCTCCTCAGTAAATGTCCCTGGGTTGCTGAAGGCTGTGCTGGAGCTGCTGAAGCGTGGTCTCACAATGATCGGCCGTGTTTCCTAAGTTCCTCTACCTGTTCTGATAAATAATGTCTGTGATGATCTTACTGATGCATGCTTGAAGTTTGCTGACAAAATTCTAGCCGATAGCATCCGTCCTTTACACATGAAACTGTGCATGTAAATCCTCACCCTCCATCCCTTCCGAATACAGACTTACACCAGCTAGCATACCTGTCTACAGAAACTCCTTGGTACCTTGTCTTGCCCAGGCAAGGAGAATATTCGTTCTGAGCGTTCTAATGCATTTGTTTGTTAATTCAAGCATCTTTTCCCCCGATATCCTTCTTTTTCCAGTATTTTTACGATGTTTTCTTTTAGGCTGAAAGCTTACATGTAACTTACTGAAGCTTTAACTCAAATGTAAATACCAACTCATTATATTCTATGCTCATCGAAGTAAAGCATGCCAAATTTGTCCATTTAAACTGCCTGGAGCATTTCGTCGGTAATGAATGGCACATTTCCTGAGCGGTACCAGTGTTGAAGAAACATTTAAGAACTATTCGATTTGATAAAAAATCGTAAAAGTGGTTTTACCACAGCCCTCTGAGTTGCAACAAGCATAAGCAACATATTCTATTTCGCAATAGATGGGAACCGTGCACGTTCACCTCAAATAACACCGTGCCAGCTTGTTGACATCTGTGTGCCTTCTCCACAGTTGTCGTCCAATCAGTGGACAGTTTCATCCATGTCTTGCACGCAGGTGAGATGTCATTGGTTGATTTCGACATTGCATGTTAGTTCGTGAATGACTGAGTCGTACATCGGTAAATCACTAAGTGAGAATGAATCAGGAAGTGAAATAGGCCGGGGTGGAGCCGCATGCGCTATTACATTAGCGGTTGGTTGGCAGAACATAGTGGAACATGCGACATTCCATAGACACAAATGAGCAGAAAATGGACTGTAGTTTTGTTTCTTCTATCACAAATAAGGTAATACTCGACAGGGTTCTTCGAATAGAATTCATCAAACCAGCAGACGCATCACAGGATAATGAAGGAAAATAGAGAGAAGTTTACGCAAAAAAGACACCTGAATAATAAACATTATGGTTACAAAAGGAGGGTATTGCCAAGATGTTAGGATAATAAGAATAGATAAATGCAGCCTCAGAACACCGTGATGTAATTTGAGAAGAACGAGAAATACGTATTCACCTCGGAAGTATTGACACAAACTGCAAGGCAATGGTCAGAATCACTTCAATGGGTTGTCAGGGTCGTTAGAATTCAGTTATGAGGTTGACCATGGGAGTGGATATGTATGATCAGTGAGAATCTCTTTCTCATTTAATCGGAAAGATTTACCTTGAAATAGATAATCATTGCAGCAATGAAAACACCCAAACTTTGGACCAAATCTCCAATCACGTGGATTAGAGCCGCGCGAACAGTAATGTTTTGCCGACTCGCTTCCCGTTGCGTGCGTTGATCGACCTTGTGTTCATGACTGTGTGAGTCCGAGTGTTGCAGCCCGCGCAAGCTTCCATTGCCCTGATGTGAGTGCGAGTGATCTGCCAAATGTGAATGCTCTCCAGTGGAGCCACCGTGACTGTGCCCATGCCCGTGATCGTGTAAAGTCAACACCATACTAAAATATAACAGGAAACAAGAATGAAAAATAGCAGCACTAAGAAGTGGCTGTCTGGTTAGAAATTGAATTATGAAGTGAATAAGTTATCCATACCGAGTGCTTCATTTGTTGAAGTTTGTTATGAGAGATAGTAGTAGTGGCCAGCAATTCTTCGTTCGAGAAAAAGGGGAAGCCTTATGAAGGAAAACTGAAACGTACAATGAGACCAGAAAGTAGATGGCTTGATCTAACTGGTACAAGTTATTTATGATTGATGGGAAAGTACTTATTTTCGGAAGCTCGTTGTACGTCAAATGCGATGGAGATGTTTGTGATAACTAACAAAGAGCACTGAACAGCTGTTTCGTCCCGTTTGGGACTCGTCAGCAGTGTGAACCTTTTGTGTCCCTGTTAGGACTCGAACTGGGATCAGTCGGGTAAAGACTTCAAACCCTCACCTCTGAGCTACACGGCCGACAGTTTGGAGCTGTTTGAATCTGGTTGGGTTTTATTAGTACGTTCGCCATTCCTTTTTCCTTGTATATGATGAATTTCACCATTCACTAATGGCACGCAATAAGTAGTATACATTGGAGTGTTTTAAAGATTCACCACTCGTTGATAGACGTAAGTTGCTTAAATTAGGTTGCCAACGAGACCGTTTCTACGGAGAGTGTAGAAGAAAGTGAAACATTATGTCATTTGATCAAGTGGTTATTAAACTTACCTTCTACCTGTAAGCTCCCAGGTCTTATCTTCAATTGAGTCGACAGATTCTTACTTCTGGTGGACCTTACAAGATCCAAAAAGCTGTTACGTGTCTCAGAGCTATTCAGTTAAAATTCCTTCTCTGTGTTCAACGAAGTCACCTTTCCATATATCGCATCGAGCGTTAAACTTCTGTGATCTCTTTCAGAGCAGTATCACTGTCTACCTGTTGGATCTTATATAGTTCCTCAGTCCAAGTTACAAGGTAGCTTATCGGCATCGCATGCCCTGAAAAATATGTTAAGCATAGCCATCATTAACTATCAATCTGGTTCCTTTCAAACAACTCCGGGGGACTGAAATAAAACAGTCATTATGTACATCCGTTTTCTCAGTTCACTTTGTTTTTTTTCCCCGGTAAATCAACTTTATTCAACGGCAAGCATCACTTACCTTCAGTTCCTTGATTTCTCCTACTCCATTTCCTTCTAATCCAAAGTTTGTACCCTTGCACTCACTGATCGCCGAGTTGTCTCTATCTCTCTGTCACGTAATTCCCGTAAACCACTTAATGGCTCTACCAAAGCTATGACCCCTTATCGGAACAGTGGTGACACAGAGGGCTAAGAATTGTTTTGAGCAGTCAAAGTCGCAGAGCTGGCAACTCCTTTAGCAACCAGAAATCCCTAATAATTTGCCAAATCAGTATAAATTTATTCCAATTTCTCCAACGTTTTATTCTGGACTTACATGGTGGCTGAGTAGGCCAGCGGCTTGACAAAACCCAAGTGCGTGTCCATGTTCGCTGAACGAACACTCCACACCGCACCGTGGATGTCCCTTTGATTTCACCCCTTTTCACCGGACATTATCACATGTGTACAAGCTATCAGAAAACTATGGGATCCTTGTCTTTATTTTTCACGAAATTCTCGCTGCCAAAATTCCGTTCCTTCTTAATAATGACTTATTATAGTTAAACATAAAATCCGGTGTTTTACAACTCCGTAGAAAACAAAAGCGATATTTTTTCATTTATAAACGTCATGACAACCCACACTCATTAATTTCCACCACATCTTATTCACATAAGTCATCCCGCATGTTTTGAAGCAGTCAGTCGTGATTAGCTACGTCAAAATATCCCAACCACAAAGATTTGCTCAGTGGCCACCCGTAAAACTTGCGGTTCTGTGACCTACCAGTAACGTTCTGGTCTCCTTTCCAGATATTCCGCAGATACTTGATCGTGTCTGGTATGCAGGTCAACTGGCTAAACCAGCAAACGTCTGATTTCAGATTGCATTTTTCACACTTCAGCGACCGCAAGGAACGAGTTCCCGTTTTTATGTTTATGATGTTATGATGGTTTCCTCGTGGTTATCTACTCTACACCGTGATTGTTGATGAAGTATCTCTTAGTTCATTTCTCTAAATCGCTTACTTCAAATAAGAAGTTTGATTTCCCACCGATTCGAGCAACTTATTTTGACGTTTTTAAACTTTCTTCCTTTTCGCGTTCTTTCTATGCTTTTGGTCTGTTCCTCTAAGGTGTGCACAAAAGTACCTTTCTTTTCCACAACAGATGTATATTTATTTCGACATATCTCTCAATTTTCAAGAGCTAAGTGATGTTGCTATGTATGCGAACTAGCTTTGTCGACTGCTCTCGATCTGATTCAATCTGAGACTGTTAGTATCATAAACGTTCCAAATCTAAAAGTGGCTTGTAGTCACCAGAATCATTCTGCTACGGTAAGCGGTCGCCTCCCTCTCCTCACTTTATCGTCAAGTCTTTGGTTTTGTTCAGTCTAAAACGAGGCTTAGGTCCTCCTCAAACTTGTCATTCACAGAAAATTCCGTAAGAAATTCTTATCCAAAAGTGATGCGTTTCTTCTTTCCAGATCGCGAATTGACGAATCGATCATACTCTCTGAAAATGTCAAACTTCTCACCCAAGAAAACTGAATAACTGCACCAGTTCCAGTTCGAAAATTTCGTTCACATCCCAGTGCGAAGAAATCGAGCAAAAATGGAAGCAGTTTCCCAATTTTGATTTCCAGCATCTACTATCAAAATACCTACCATTGAAGCGATGAATCTATGCACGCCTTATTCAAACTGATAGTAGACGTCGTCGGTGAAATGGGAAATATCCGGTATCTGTTAGGGTTTGGCGATGTGTATCTTGTCATGGAAATGGTAGAATTTATTCAAAACCTTCGTTGATTGCCCTGTGTCTACAGTTGTGGGTTTTGTAGTGTTGATGGACGGTGTATTATTTGTGTGCGATTTTCCATTTGCTTTGGACTTTTTATATACACACCCACATCTACCCGTATAAGAGAATACTTGCGTACCATTAAATGAGCAAAAATTCTGTAGTCGTTATGCTATATAAAGCAGCATAAAAAACGTAGAAAATTGAACATAAAACAAAACCGAAGACATTATTAGTTTATTTAGAATAAGCACTTGGAAAACTGAATTGTTTTTATTTCACTTTTTGAGGAGGTGCTAGGAGACAATCACTATGCCAAATAACTCTCTGGTCTTTTTTGCAACTATTTTTCTAGTGATTACAACACGAATTGCCACCTCACTTCAGTGCTCTCGATTCCAGATTATACACATTTGTCTCCACGTATGCCTCCCCCAAAGAAAAATCAAACGGACCCCAGTCCGGTGATCAAGGACTCGCCCCATCTTTCACCCTATCGGAACCGTTTTGTTAAGCGAATTCTTTTCGGTCGTAGCGCAATGTGTAATTACTCAATCTTATTTAAACCATACTCGCAATATTCATTCGATAGTGAACTGAATTCAATTACTTCATAGAAGCACCACTAGCACCGTAGATAATATATCCACTATTGGAAGTCGTTTTACCTTGATGATTTCTTCCGTAAACTCTTATCCTGCAGTCACCTGGAGCTCTGCAAAGAGAAAATGAGTTCGTCGCTGAATGTGTAATCCTTAGTCAGTGTTGGATTAATGGGTGGTCAATGCGTGAATCAATCTTAAATAGCCGTTCACAGTTGACGATCACGGGAAGGATGGTACGTAGCTCGTATTTCATCATGTCAGTCATCATTTAATGCGTTTTACGGATGCACTTGGTGCATCTGGTTCTCTGGAGGCACGTGTGATGAATCTGGACGGATGGAAAGTTAGCGTGTTTTCTAACTGACGTAGTTGAAATTTAGTGCTGAACGTCCACACTGTGTGCAAAATGTTTATTCTAACTTCACTCTAGCCTACTGAATGAATTCACTTTATTAGCAAGTCTCTTAATTCATATACATTTTGCCTGTATCAGTTGTCAATAGACGTTGTGACCATGTTTCACAGCGGTTTGAGAGGAGCAGGAGAAAATTTCAACACATTTTCGGCTGTCAACACCCAAAAATCTGAAGCTACAAAACAGGGGAACAATCCAGAGTACTTGTTAGACTCTGAGTGTTCCGTGATTAGAGGCATATCCAACAACCGTCTAACAAACGCCGAATATTTTTGAATTTACCGGTGAAGTTTACTTTCAAATTGAATAGGTTATTTATATATTCAGTGGTGGCTGTTTCGGTAGTTGATGCTGGAAATCAAAATCGGGGAAACTCCTTCCATTTTGGAACACGTTTCAACGTGCATTAATTTGAACTTATAGATCACAGAGAATATTTTTCTAACCATACTGACGAATATATGCAAGTTTATTTGAATAAAGAATACACATATTAATAACGGTTGCTTGTTGCTTTCGTAGTTCTGATAGCATAACTTTATGCTCCTTTGTTCTCCAAGCATGTCAGTTAGATTGAAAACATTTCAACAGTGAGTGAGGCGACATTCTCGTTGAAGTAAGTGAGGGAGAGTTTACGAGTTTCTACTTACCTATGCAAGTCGATCAGTGGTCTGGGAAGACGTGGTGATGTCTGACGGGCTAATCGGTACAATGCCTACCTAGCTCAACAGGTTCAATAGTAAACAAAGGGGGAGATGTGTTCATCAGAAGAATTCACCTCAACGCAAATGAACGAAGAAAGGAGCACTGTTCGAAGTAGAACATATGTTCAACTCCATCGGTTTATTAGAAAACACTAAACAGCAAATACGACAAAGCAGTTTTCCAATTCTGACCCGAAACAAATTGTTGAACGCACTGTCAAAAGCCGAGGTATGAGCAATAAAAACACAGAGAACCGACAGAAATATCATCATCCTCACGATGGATAAGGGATGATTGACTGATATAATGAATAAAACGGAAACCATAAAGACAGAAAAAGTGCTCCAAGATCTACCTACCGCAAAATGGACACGGATATAATTACAGAACCAAACAGAAAAAATAAGGTAACAATCGATTGGAATGGTTACACCACAATAACGAAGAAGCAAACTGGATAATTAAAACGAGCAATCCAGATACGAGTCAGTCTCTGGAATTAACAAAAATANCAAGATGATGTACCGCCACAACCATAAGTTTCGTCTCCTGGTAAAGTGACTTACAAATTAGCCAACTAATAATAAAAGGAATCTAAAAGTCTCACCCTCGGCTATGGACATACCATTATCAACGCTGAAAATTTCTTATGAAATTGAATAACGTGAGCAATAGAGCAGGTAAAACAATGATCGTTTTCTGCATCACGGCTATTTTCAGTTTTATCAACTTCTAGAAGAATAAAAGATCCATCAAATACTGAATCACAAACACAGAAGGGTTGATGGATGGGTACCTACAGACATAGTCTGAATCCAACGGTGAAATCTAGCAACCGGGGTCACCAATTTCCGGATTCACTGCTGAAGCTGTGATGCTTGAACGAATAATAGATGACATACTTATGATTCTGATTCAATCGGAAGTCGATAGAACTTTCAACGGCATCAACAGTGCCCTCAAGGATATCGTCAGCTGAACACTTTATAAGGCTCATTGTTCGAGATTTTGGAGTGATTTGTCTTAATTACAGAATGAAATATTTTGATGAACTTCGTGATACATTGGGAATAATAAAAGTTAACTGAAAAGTTATTAAGTGCATTGCTGTATTCACATGGTTGATTCGATCGCACTGGTCATTGGACCCGGGAGCTCACAGAACCAATGGAGGAGTAATGCAAACTTGGCCTCCAAAGGCCCTTTCACTTTTAGCAAGCAGATTCGCCTGCAATTCGTGTTCCCCTTTTACTTATTGACCAATGCCCCATTTCACTGACCATATTCGTTGTTGCACCAAAACAACAACTATGGCGTGAGAACTTCGATCTCCTTAGAATAAGCTAATCTATGAGAGTCGAGATTCACCACCTGTAAACATTATTGTCTTAAGAGTAATGGATGACACTGGTTGATTAGTAATAGTATCCAGAGAGTGACTATGGTGGTGCAACCCTCGTCAGGGTGGAAGTAAAAAGAGGTTGACGAATCCAAAATCTAAGAAACAGTTAGATTTTTACAAAAGAAAAGCAGAAATCGGGCCTCTTAACCAAAACAGATTCATGCTAACAGTCACAACCGTCGTCATATAAAATTATGTGAATAGTATTATCATCCACCCGTTTCACTCATAAACTTTTAAAGACACGCATTGAAGCTTACAGGCGGTCTATTGTCCCTCATCTCGCCAGATTTCTAACAAACCATGAGCTCGTTGCAGGAAATCTGCGCCAAATGTACAACTAAATCCATTCTATACACCCGGGTATGACATTGATTTTGATGTTGCTGCCCTTTTTCACGTCCTTTAATTGCTGTATCATACTGCGGTTGTTGTTTTTCCCACTTTTTGTTGACACACTATGGTTATGTGGTTGCTGGATATCCACCTCTCGAGGTGTATTCCTTGACTTGACTAATTATAGCTCGTACCATGAATGCGACCATGGTATATATACCTATATGAATATATAAGCACATGAATGTAGATGGATAGACAGATAGATAGATAGGTAGCAAGCAGACAGACAGACAACCTAAGTAATATGTCCTCTCAGCTTACTGTTTTTATTCAATCTGGATCGTGAAAAAACAGTAGATGATACATACCAGTACCAGTGCTTGGTACATACAGTGAGTTTGCCGAAGGTTTCTGTGGCCGTTTTACGTGTGCCCATGTCAATTTTTATTGAGCTTCACAGATTAGATGATCTGAAAGCAGCCTGTCAACCTAAATAACCATAGTAAAGATTCGTATGAGTATTGGTGCTGTCTTGTAACACCCTTTTCAAGACACACAAGACGTAAGTACTTGAGGAAATGGAACTAAACAAATTCAATTCATTCGTTTACCAAAACCTAAGGCATCCTAAGAAAAACAGGTAGAAACATTTATGCAAAAGAACCAATTAATTTAACTCACACAATGTTCACACCGACTCCAATTGCCGACGTGATGAGCATGATTTTTCCGTCAATCTCGTAATGTTGATGTATAATGCGCATAACAGCCAGATATACCAATATACCGGTTACAAGCCATATCATTAGGACAGAGGCGAGAGCACCGACGACTTCTGTGAAAGCATACAAAAATATCAGTATTACAATATAAATTATCTAGTTGTCAGAATGGCACACCTTTATTAAATTCGTTTGAGTTTACTGATAAGTAGTCAGAACAAACAAATTCACCAATGACGACCCTGTTACATCAGAGGCCGCATAAATATGCACGGATTCATCGACGAACAAAAAGTCAGCGATCGAGGCACGGAAACCACTGTATCAGGTATATATGATTGAGTGCGTAGTTGATTGAACCTCGAAGCTGAGATGCCAGCGCGTCATCTGGTATCACCTGTCCACCTCGGTATGGAATCCTTGTTTGTTCTCTGGTGGAATAGAGCGTTAATTACATACTTCCAAAACCGGTTTGTACAAGGGTTATGCCTACACTTTCAAGTAAAAGGTTGCTTTGGAAACCGGTAACAAATCGAACTACTCTCCACGATCACTGCCCAAATAATTCAACATAAATCAATGAGTCAATGAGTGATTTACACATATCACTTGTCACTTATGAATGTTTTAGAGAATCCTGCACTATTCATGTAGAGATCGTGGACTTCAGTGTTTCAGAATGAATCATAATTTCCACAGTTTCCATCATAAAACAAAATGTTCTAATATGCTTCTGTAACAAGTTGATTCAAGCAACTGTGGGTAAAAGTTTATTAAAATGAGACTTAAACTTACTTAAGAGACTTAAACTGTAAATAGGGGATCCACCTCTGTAACGAGTGATAACGCTTGAACTGATATTTATGTTTGGCAATGTTTCGATCAGCCCGTTCGGTTTTTTCACAAGCACCGGGTACTGTCGATGATCTTGGATGTGGATTTCACTCCTTAGGAGATCGTTAATTCCCAAAGAGGTAAATGCATTCAAATCCAATGGAAATGTTTGTGATAACCGGAAAGGAGCACTGGACGGTTGTTTCGTCCTATTTAGGGCTCGTCATCAGTGCGTAAGTTTTCCGGCCCAGTCAGGACTAGGACCTTTGGCGCAAAATCGAGACCGTCGGCGGCTTACTTCAGGGCTAAGGGTTTGAAGTCCAGATTCGAATGTTCGCAGTTCGATTTCTGACAGGGACATTGACTATATGCACTGCTGACGAGTCCAAAAGAGCTATTCAGTGCTCTTTACCGGACATCACATTTAATATGTATACTAGCTAAATGTTTTCCTCGAACGCTTTCGTTGAGTAGATCCTACGGATTATACAGGTCACGAACATTTTCTTTCATGGAAAATAAATTAAAAATTCCTATCAGACACAGTTGTCACTAAAATCAAAGTCTCCGTTTCTTAACAGCGCTGATAAATTCATGCACTACTCTATGGCAACGAAGCATGAGCCCCGTCAAGTTACGACGTTCCGCGGCAATCAGTAATTCAAGAATTACCTACTGATCACCACACACTCAGACTTCAGTTGTTCGGAATCTGTCCAACGCAACCTTGTGCATCACAATGTTATTTCTCCTTTAAAGGTATTTCCACGCTGAAGTTGCAAAGTGGTGCCAAATGGTGAGTCGACTTGTCAGTTTGATGATTC